ACCTGACTCAGGTGTTCACAGTCTCCCTCTGGCTGCGTGTGGGGGACAGACTGCAGGAGCCGGGAGACCCTGGGGGAGGAGGAGGGTGCGATAGCCCAGCAGGAGACAAGGATGGGGACAGGACTAAGGTGGGCAGAGTGGAGGAGGGACAGAGGGAGAGGAGGTGGATCCTGATTAACATTGAAGCTTGAGCTCACAAGATCTGCTCACAGGTTGGATGTGGGTTTGAGAAGGAGTGACTCCTCCCAGGAGCACCGCACAGGGTTGCCATGGGGATGGCAGGAGTTGATACACGTAGGATGCATAGAACGGCACTGAGATGCAGTCTAAGTGCTCCTGCTCACTTTCATTATTATTTTTAACAGCATTAAAATTAACGCCTTCCTTGAAGAATAAAATGAGTTAATTCATGTTAAATGCTTCAAACAAAACCTGACACGTGGTGGTTGCTCAATAAATGTTACCTGTTATTCCTGTTGTCTGCAAATACCCCTAGATGTATTGGAACAATGCCTAGAACACCAGAACTGACGAGCTAGTACTCTTGGCTGTTTGCTGGGATAACCCCCTTCCACCTCCCGGCTTTGTCTCTCCAGCCCTACCCCTGGCTCCCCAGCTCTGGGCCACCCGCTCCATGGCTACCCTGAACCAGATGCATCGCCTGGGGCGTCCAAAGCGGCCACCTCGGAGTCTGGGCCCCACAGAGGGCCGGCCGCAGCTGAAGGGCGTGGTTCTGCGCACGTTCATCCGCAAGCCCAAGAAGCCCAACTCGGCCAACCGCAAGTGCTGCCGCGTGCGGCTCAGCACAGGCCGCGAGGTCGTCTGCTTCATCCCCGGCGAGGGCCACACCCTGCAGGAGCACCATGTTGTCCTCGTGCAGGGTGGCCGCACCCAGGACCTGCCGGGTGTCAAGCTCACTGTTGTGCGTGGCAAGTACGACTGTGGCCACGTGCAGAAGAGGAAGTGACTGCCGGGGGCACAGTGGCTGGGGCAGCCCCGCAGGACAAGAACCTCTCTCTCCGGGCTCCAGCAGGGTTCTTGGAAGCTGGCTCTCTTGGCTCTAGAGGCAGCCACCCCTGGGTCCAAATCCTGGCTCTGCCTCCTCCGTCAGGGCCACCATTAGCCCATAGGAGTCCTGGGGGTGAAAAACGCACCCTTCTGTCAACACCCTTGGCTTCTGTGTTTAGAGTGTTGGCATGAGGGATCTTTTCTGCTGGGACAAGAGGCTGTACTGTCATCTGCTGGGAAGGGGTTGTAATAAACACAGATCCCCACAGTTGATGTGAATTCCCTTGTCCCCAGTGTTCGCCTTCAGTGTGGTTGTGGCAGCTGACACCCCCTTTGATCTTCAGTTCTTCCTGCAGAAAATAGCTCCATTTGCAGTATCTCCTTTGTTCTGTTTGGTGAAGATTAAATTCGATGCTCTATTTTAGGCTTTGGAGTTAGGCGGTGCTGAGGCCCAGTTCCCTGCCCTGCAGGCTGCGGGGTCTGGGCACATCAGCCCTGCCCTCAAGCTTGGTCATCTGAAAAACGGTGGCGATTGTAATGTTGATATTGAAGGGGTGTAGAAAGGATCACATCGGGTGTGCTGTTGTTATCAGACTCACACACACCTGGGTTCAAATCCTGGCTCTACCTCTTAATTGCTCTGTGGCCTGGCCATATTGGTTCCCCCTGTGGGCCTCAGTTTCCTTCCTTGGAAAATGGCACTGATAGTAATACTGACCTCACACGATCACATTAGATTTTAAGAATAGGGAACCGAGCTTATATCCCTGGGCTCTGGAGCCCAACTCTGGTCCAAGCCCCGCCTCGCCTCCTTACTGCTGGGTGATCTTGAGCAGGTCATTTAGGCTCTGAGCCTTGACTAAATGGCATTGGTATGGGTACCTGCCTGCGAGGAGCTGGGAGGACCACTGAGAACCATGCGCCATAGCTGTCTCGGTTCTGGAAGCCGTCTCCTGCACAGCGCTCGGCACACTCCCTCCTGAAGTTCCATGACTGCGAACGTGAGACCACAAGGTCTTTTGAGATGAGCGCTGGAGCAGACGAATGCATCGATTACAGATAAAAGTCACCCATCTCCTCGTATTTAGCACCAATTTTATTGAGCTAGTTTGTTGGCCAGGCCCAGCTGGGAATCCGGGAGAAACGCCAGCAGGTGGGAGTGGGTAGGGGGCAGGAGCTGGAAGAGCTTTCCCTCTTGGCACGCCTGGCTCCAGGGGTCTGTATGCTGGAGGGTGCTGGAGGAACCCTGGGAGGAGGTGAGAACCTGAGCCTGGACTCAGAATTCTGATGGGAGAAGCAGCACCAGGAGAGGAGGAGCTGGTGGGCAGCGCAGGTCGTGTCGCACGGGGTTGGCCGCTTACACGGCCCCGCAGCAGAATCCCAGACTCCCCCAAACAACAGAAAAGGCTTCTTTCGTGCCCCTGTCTGTCTCAGGGACAGACTGCCCCAACTGACCTCTGCCCCCTGCCAGCGATCAGCCTGCCCCCAAACAAGCCGGCAAGAGTCAATGCGCCCCCTGTCGGCAGCTGTCCCCTCCACTGTAATCTGGGCTGGCTTTTGTTTCTTGACTCCATGTACCACGTGGGAGGAGACAATTTGCAGGCAAACCACTAACTACACGTCTCTGAGTTATTTCTTGACCCGCCCACCTGGGGAGCTGAGGAAGCTGTGAACAGCCTGGTGGGGTCCCTGGTTTGTCACACGGCGCGAGCGCCACCACGCTGAAGCAGCAGCAAGTGGGGTTCCTGGGAGGTGTGCTGCGAACAGGCCACGTGGGATGGCCACTGTCCCTAGGCATCCTCGGATTCCCGGCTGCAAAGCCGCTCTTGAATGACAAGGTCTGGCAGATGGCAGTGCGTCCTGGAAGGCCCGTCCAGGCCAGTCGCTAGGACAGACGGATCCTGACCCTCACGCTGGAGTGGGTCACAAGGGCGCCATAGTGCCCCACCCAAGAACGTGTGTCTCTCCCGTACTGCTCAAAAGACACGTAGCGGATGCCCTTGCCGAAGTTGGTGAAGACGTGGGAGACCTGCGGGGGGCAGCGAGAGGGTGAGGGCCTGTGGGCGCCTTCTCTTCCTTCACTTCGACAGATACTCCCCAAGGACAGAGTCGGCGCCAGGCCCTGCTCTAGGTGCTGGGGATGACAGCTGCGATAAAGCGGCAAAGCCCCCTGCCCTGGTGAAGAGGACATTCCGATAGGACCCCCACACTCAGGCAGGATGTGGGGAAGGGGCCAAGGACATCCTGCCGGGAGGGCAGCAGAAATGGGTGAGTGAGGTGAGTAAGCAGAGGCCCCACTGAGCTGAGGTTTGGGCGGAGACCTGAAGGAAAGGAGGGAGCCATGCGGGGCTCTGGAGGGAGAGTGTTCTGGACAGCCAGCGCAAGGGCCCTGCGGTGGGAGCACACCTGGAGCAGAGTGAGGGGAGAAGTAGGAGTTGGGGTGGGGAGGTAATGGGCACATCCTGTGGGGCCTGTGTCACAAGGGCTCAGTAACTTGTAGATATCGTTATTATAGATAACCTAGCGAGATAAGAGCTGAGAAGGGAGACTGAGCAGGTGAGAGGCGGGGTGTGTGTGCCCTGGAGCGGGTCAGGGCTGAGCTGGAAGGCGGTGCGGACTCACTCACCTGTCGACAGCCCCTCTCAGTCCACTGAAGGACCGGGTTGGGTGACGCTGAGAACTTGACCACTTCGTTTTCGTACACGTCTAGGAGGCGGACCCGCAGCCGGTAGACGCAGCCGCAGTTCTCTCGGGCGCCCCACCTGCCAGGTGGCAGTGAGCCTCCAAGCCCCGCCACTCCGCCAGCTCTCTGGGTTGGGGGGGCGGGAGGCTGAGGGCTGGGCCTCCCTGTACCTCGATGCGGGTCCTGCATGCACACCTGCACCGCATTTGGAGAGGTCCCGGCCTACGAAACTCTGGGGGAGGGGCCTGAGTGATCCTGGGGGAGGAGCCTGGGTAGTCTGGGGTGGAGCCAGAGCCTGGGGGAGGAGCCTGAGTGGTCGCGGGGTGGATTCCGGAGACTAGTTGGGGGCGGGAGGATGATGCTCTGGAAAGGAACCACTACCCAGGGGAGGAGCCTGGTGACCTTGGGGAGGAACCCCAGGAAAGACACTGGATTTTCTGTCGAGGAGCAAGAGCCTGAATGCTATAGGGAGGAACGTGGGTGCTCTAGGAAGGAAGGAGTTCATCCTAAGCCCTCAGGCTCTGAAGCAGCCAGCGCCCCTGTCCCAACTGTGCCCCCACTGAGCCTCAGTTCTCAAGGCACAGTGCTCCCAATCCTTTGGGAGGCCTTGGGCATCCACAAACCCTTAGGGCCAGTGCTGAGTTGGGGGTGATGAGGGGTGTCTAGTTTCAGAGCCGTATGAAGCCAGTCAGGGGCCCCATGCAGACAACCCCCAGGACCTGCTGGGAAGAGGGTGGGGAGGCGTGCAGAGGGGGCGGTCTGGGCTCACCAAGACTCCACCTCTCCCTGACTCTGAACTGTGAGAGCATCACTTCCTCTGCGCCTCGCTGCAAAGGGTACCCAGTAACAGCAGCTACCCGTGGGGTTGATAAGGGCTCGAAATGAGTCCCGGCTGCAGAACTGATGCCACCACTGCTAGTGTTCGGGGGCAGGTCACCACTCTTCACTCACCAGTCGGCCACACAGATCTCAATCTGGGCGCTGTCGAGCAGCTCCTGCCATATCCCCTCCATCACCAGGTCCACGAGCTGCCTCTTGAAGCACCATCTGGGAAGAGGACACGGCAGGGGGTGGGGCAGACAGTCCTCACACTCAAGTGCCAGAAACCACCTCCTCCAAGAAGCCTGCCTGGATAACCCTTTCTAAAGCAGCCCTCAGGGTCTGCCTACCAGACATGATGACACGTGATGGTCTATACATTTCTCCCATCAGATCCCTCCACCACTCTCAAGCCTGCCCCTAATATTTGTGGGGACCAGGACACGAGTACAAAGGGAGGCTACATACTAGACGCCTGAGCAGGGAGTACTGGGGCTTCCTAAAGTGTGTGGACGGCCTCCCTTACCCTCTGCTTCCTGTTGGATCAGCCAGTGGGAAGCTCCAGCAGAAGATGGAAGTGAGGGAAGAGAGTAAAATCGTGGTATTCGTCCTGCTAGGTCCCTCCCAAGGCACTGCCGTGTCCCTCAACAAAAGGACCCAACTCTGCAGCACCCTCTCCTCATGGCCATCTCTGTCTTCCTGTTTCAGTAACTGCTTACAACCCTCACCCCTTGGGGTAGTAATGTCCTTTCCCCCACTACTATTAGTCCAGGGGTCCAGCCTACACCTTTGTAAACAGTTCCTCTGCCCTAATTTGAATGTGCCATAAAAATAGAGATAGTGCAGTAGGGGTGGAAGGGCAAATTAAGGGAATAGAACAGACCTAGGTATGTAGGGACCTAGGGAACTTCATAAATGGTACAGGTGGCACCACCATTCTACGGAGATCGGATAGAGATGGATTCTTTAGTAGATGGTGTTGGGAAAACTAGCTCAATATACATGGAGGAGGGAGGGACATCTAGATCCTTCCTAACACCTCGTTCAATGTGGATTAAAAGCCTAAATGTGAAAGATAAAAAGCTATGAGGTTATTAGAAGAGAGTATATAAGAGAATATCACTAGGATCTAGGAGCGGAGAAGGATTTTTTAAACAAAATTTCAAGCACACAAGTTCTAACGCAAAAAATCAAAGAGAGGAAGATGAATTTGATCACATGAAAACGAAAGACTTCTGCCCAGCAAAGAACACGGACACAGTTAATACAGATAGCTAGTAGAACATTTCTGCAATTTCCAAGATGGACAAGGGACATCTAGAATATACAAGGAATTCTTGCATGTCGACAAGAAAAAGACATCACTCCTAATAGAAAATATGAACAGGCAATTTGCAAAAGAGGAAATTTGAAAAGCTAACAGGCACATGAAGAGATGCTTAATTATCAGTAAACAGAAACATGCAAATTAAGACAGCAATGAGATAGCACTTCACCCCTAATATACTGGCAACTACTAGAAAGATGGATAATGCCATATTAGAATGGTTGCCTATAGGAGGAAGGGACAAGGAGAAGGAGTAAGAGGTATGAGGATAAAAAAGAAGCAACCAGTCAATCAAACTGTTTTGGTGTCTTCATCGCATTTATCACAACCATAAGCTCTGGAGCCAAATCATTTATTAGATGTTGGTTACTCTCTGTGCCAAAGTTTGCTATTATACAGTGGGGACAATAATAGCACCTATGTCACAGGGTTGTTGCCAGAACTGAAAGTTATTAATATAGGTAAATCGCCTAGCACAGAGTAACCCCTCTAAAATGTTTGTTGCATTGTTATCATTTTGCTGCTTGTGTTTAATGTCTCCCCCCACTCTACATCTAAAATGCAAATGAAACAAGAACAGGTTGCTAATCTTCCTGATTTTTTCCTTGTATTTCTGGCATGTAAAACAGTGCCTAGTACCTGGCAGGCCCTCAACAAATATTTGTTGCTTGAATGAATGAATGAGGGAAGGAAGGAAGGAAAGAGAGGGTGAAGGTAGGTGAAGGTGAGGATGAGGACGGTGGCGTAGGGTCCCTCCCTCTCTTCCAGGTACTTGCCCCAGGGATCAGGGGCCACTCACTTGGGCCACTCACTCGAAAGAAGTCACGAAGCAGGTCTGGGAAGGAGCCCCGGGCACCAGTGTCAGGTTCTTTTCCACGGCCCAGCCGTTCCCGCCGTGCTCCACCTCCCAGCCTTTGAAGCCCTCTGTGGAATACAATAGGGTGGAACAGATGACTCGCCTGCCAGCTGGCCCAAAAGAGACCCAGCCACCACCCAAGGTGTCCCGCCCACCAGTCCCTCCCTCCCGCGCTCCAACCCCCACCCACCTACCCGGCTTCTTCTACTCTGACGCCCCCTCCCAGTATCCAGCATTCCTGGTCCCACCCCACGGCCGCGTCACTCGGCCCTGCCTATCCACTCAGCTTCTCCCCAGCCCCGCCCTTCTGTTCTGCCTCCTTTCAGCATCTCTGACGACTTGACTTCCGCCCTGGCCCCGCCCCAGGCTCCTGCCACGCCCACCCGCCCTGTTTCCCCGCCCCACACCCCGCCTGCATGCGGCCACCTCCCACCTCTGGCTCCTCCCTCAGCCCCGGCCCCCGGGTCTCCTTCCCGGCAGCGCGCCTCTAAGCCCCGCCCCCAGCTCCTCCAGCTGCCTCACCCATTGGTTACATCTCTCTCAGGCCCTGCCCACAGCCCTGGTCACGCCCACCGGCCCGCCTCTTCGGAGCCCGGCATCCCACGCCTCCCCGGGGTCTCCTGGGCCCCGCCCCGCCCCCGGCACCCACGCTCTCCGCAGGAGTTGAAGATGAGGTTGCGGCCGAAGGGGGAGCGCAGGCAGTAGCGCGCCAGGGCGCAGAGCGGGAGCTCCTCGTCGTCCTCGCTGTCGGGCAGGCAGCGCTGAGCCACGGCGTAGAGTGCGCGGCCCTCGGCGCTGCGGTCGCGGGCCAGCTGCAGCAGCCACACGGTGGGCCCGTCCACCACGTCGCGCCAGGCGCGGCACACCAGGCGGCACTGCGCCACTAACGCGCGCGGCGGCACGTGGCTCAGCACCTGCACGAGCAGCTCGGGGGGCAGCGCGTCCAGGGCCATGGGCGGGTCCGCCGGCAGCCGCCGCCTCGAGGACCGGGCGCCCATCTCCAGCAGCCGGCGTCCTGCAGGCCGAGAGGGGGCGGTCCGTCGGCGGGTCAGCACAGCCAGGCTACCCTCTGCCTCGCCTCCCAGGACACAAGGCTGCTGCAGCTCGACCTATCCCATCAGGTCCATGGGCGACCAGGGGGCTGCCATGGCTGTGAAGACTGGGGACCCAGTTCCCTCTTTGATCCTCGGCCTCTCCCCACTTTTCCCCCTCGGGTAAACAACTGGTCTGACTGACTCCATCCAGACTGCGGACCACAGCTTCCATCTGGCGCGCACTCGTGTCAGGCTGAGTACTTTATATACCGGACCATAAGCACACTGAAGACCACAAGAAAAACCCCCTGTAGAGGAAACCATTTCCACCCCATCCCCAACCCGTTCCAGCTGCTCCCATTCTCCCTTAAACCTTTTCTATTCATACTTTGCCCACCTTCCCCATCCTGAAAAATGTCCAGGTCACCAGCGACCTCCATGGTGCTAAGCCAGTAGTCACTGTCCAGTCTTCACCTTACTTGACCTATCAGCAGCATCTGATGGGAACTCTCTTTTCACTTGGCTCCTGGGACACCACACCCCTCTGGACGCCCCCTCCCTTCTCCCTGGTGGCTCCTCGTCAGTCTCTGTGGCTGATTCTTCCTCCTCGCTCTGATCTCAAAAATGTGAGACTGGTCTTTGCATTTCCTCTATTTTCTATCAACACTCCCTTGGGGATCTCACCCATTCTCATCACCTCTCACCTGCACCCTGCTCCTTGCTTCTCTCCTCCACTGGGTGTTCCTCACAAGCAGCCGGGTCAGGTATGAACACCTGAGTTAGGTCCTGCCCTGCCCGGCTCCATCTCACTCAAGGGAAAGGCGAAGTCTGCCCTGTGGACCACAGGGCCCCACACATTCTGCCTCCATCATCTTTCTACTGTTCCTCCCACTCTCACTCACTCTGTACCAGCCACACTGGCCTCCATGCCTCAGGGCCTTTGCACTGGCTGTTCCTCCACCTGGATGCAGATGATTTCTTCATTCACTTTGGTACTTCCTTCAAGTCTTTGCTCAAATGTCAACTTTTCCAAGAGGCCTTCCCTGGCCACCTTATTTACAATTTCAGGGCCTCACCACCACCACCTACTCTTTTCCCTTTTTCCTTACTTTATACTTCCCTAGAGCTCTTATCACCATCTGACACACCACACAAATAACCGTATATACTGTACTAATTTCTCTTCTTAATCATCTGTTTCTCTAGCCACACTGTAGTTATCCGAAGGGCAGAAATGGTTTCTTTTGCATACGACATACCACAATGTCTACAACAGTGCCTGACACACAGTGAGTAGTCAATAAAGCGATGTTAAATGAATGAATGAGTGAATGAAGCATCACATAAAAAACCCACTTCACTGATGAGGAAAGTGACGTTACACAGATATGTAGCGAGGTGAAACACCCTTATTTAATGAGAACTCGGCAACTAGCTTAAGACCCAGTGAGAAACTCATTTCACTTCACTCAAAGGCAGAACAGCTTAGCAAGGAAAGCACAATTCTGGCTGAATATCCCTTGTCCGGAATGTTGGTGACCAGAA